ATTTTAAATTAAACTCAGTAGTCTGGTGCCTACTATACCCAAATGTAGCAGGAAGAGGCGAAGGGGCAATCTATGGCTGTACAGCACCCTCTCTTGCCCTGTATGCTGAACGCCAGGATGTGACAAGAATGGGAACGTAAGCAGAGGGTACCCTTCATAGAATTTTGTATGTTGCATAAATATATGCTCTCAATGGCAAATATAAGGCATAGAATTCTCCGAATATATCCACACAATACACCTAGAATGTTATTAGTACCAGCTGTTCAATAAATGGAGCAGTGCTATAATTCTCAAAATATTTATTGATTAAGTGCAAATCATTTTTGCACATGAAACACATGAGAAAGAAATAAAGGTTTGTTTAAGCAGATAGTAGCAGTGTTTTTTAAAGACCATAATACACAGCTTCTATGTTGTCCTGCATAAAGAGTTTATAAAAACCCAGCAGCTCTCCTGGTTCAGTGAAGCTTTTTTTTACCACAAGATCCAGATGCATGAGATTGAACCACTTCTTCAGATTAGGTTTCATGTAAAACAAAACACTACAGAAAACAGATCATTATCCGCAGGTTACAAAAACACACACAATTTTTTTTTTTTTATGAAAGCATGAAACACAAAAATCTTTTAATGCTCTTTTTTTTATTTGTCCATTTAGGAACTGTAAGATCTCAAAATCTTGGTTTAGCTGCAAGCCTTCTTTACTTGGGAAGAAGGCATGCAGCAATCCCCATTTGTTGACCATGGTCCCTCTAAACTAACCCTGGTCACCCAATAGGTGTAAATGATGTTTGCTGACAAAATTACCATTTTCAGATTAAAGGGTTCCTACAACTAAAATACAGTGTTTCCATAAAAAGAAACACTTAAACTTACCTCCGTTCCATCACAGAGTCCAAGTTCTCCCTGCAGCCTGGTGTTTGCAAAGAAGGAGAACAGGGAGAATGGATAGGGCCATTATGGAGGAGGATGCCATTGTGTCATTAGCTGTCTGGCACCAGCAAGCTATGTGTGCTAGCAACAGACACCAGTTTTGCATAGAATCAACATTTGCCCCCCTGGAACTCTGACATTGTCGTCATTATCTACACCTCCATAAGCTAAGGGTTTATCTCTGTTCAGCTATTCAAAGAGTAACACTGCACATACAGACTACAAACACCTCCATAACTACTTCAAATAAATGAAGGCGCCATGGTGCTTGCAGGTCCGGCACTTACTATAGGTGACTTAGGCAGGAAGAATAGAGGACGGTGAGATTTAACCTAGAGAGAGGCTGTATCCAAGTGGCAGCTTTTGTTAGGAAGTTGAAGGTGGGTTGAAATTGCCATGCAGGAAATTATGGACACCATCTGTGAGCAGAGAATAAAGGGAAATCTGGCTGTGAGTAACACCCTGCCTATATGGAAAGACGGACTAATTTGTAAAGTGATGACATACATTGAAAGGTGGGTATGATAAGGAAAAGTAGGTGTTGACAGTGGGAGAAACTAGTAAAACTCCTTTTGGTAGTGGCAGCAACCATGCAGCAGTGGTGTGGGGTGGTCATGGTGCCACTGGCAGAGGCATATAGAGTGGAACAGCAGCTGTTTGGACCGAGGTCTTTACCACTCTGGGAGAACCAGTTATTATCATCCAAGTGGAGTGAATGGTGAATGCATACTTTTCAGATCCTACTTTGCTCTACAGGGGCTCTTAATTACTGGGAACAAAAAAATCTGGTGTGGTCAGGTGTAGGCGTGTGTTTTTTTTCAAAGCCTAACCTGCAAATGTAACCTGGCCAAGTTTGGCTAAATCAAATTGATTATAGAGGAGCCAACAGTTTTATTCTTTTTTTTTGTGTTGGGGTTTGGAGGGTGGGAGAGCGTAATGACCACATTTTCCTTGCGCTTATGTCCAAAGTCTGCTGCTCCTTTAGGAATTGTTGCGTGCAGTGGAGGGTTGCTAGCTTAAACATTTATCTCATCTACAGTATTTATGTGCAAATGTAAAAATAAAAAATAAAATAAAACTATATTTAAAAGAAGAAAAAATACCACAACAAGAGGACATAGTCTTAAATTAGAATGGCAACGGTTTAAAAATAATATCAGGAAGTATTACTTTACTGAGAGGGTAGTGGATGCATGGAATAGCCTTCCAGCTGAAGTGACAGAGGTTAACACAGTAAAGGAGTTTAAGCATGCATGGGATAGGCATAAGGCTATCCTAACTATAAGATAAGATCAGGGACTACTGAAAGTATTTAGAAAATTGGGCAGACTACATGGGCCGAATGGTGCTTATCTGCCGTCACATTCTATGTTTCTATGCTCGAGCCGATCTCACACGGGGATGGCGGTTGTGTCACTCAGTTTCTCCATCAGTGTTTTACTCCTGCTTCATCTCTTCCAGCGTATTTTGCTGGCTTCTTCCTTGTGGCTGATCTCTGCCCGTCAGTTCGTTAGCCGGCTCTCCTTCCAGCACACCACTCGGAACTCGGAGCAAAACGTGCTACGTCATCACTGCAGCGCCCATATATATTCTTCCGTCAATGTGTAAGTTTTAATTTTCATCTTTCATGGGAATTTTTTATTTTTCTTCCTTTTTCTGTCATGGAGGAAATAAAGGCACAATCTCATTTTACTTACTGTGTCACTTTCACTGTTATTCAATTGTAACCTGTCAGGCATTCAAAGCGAAATAAAATTTTTAAACCAAAATAGCTAGATTGTAAATTGTACCTAGTCTGACACATTTTCTGCTTGCCTTTTTTTTGTCCTAAAATGTAAGATTTTCTTTCAGTTCCACGATTTAAAGTTTAGCGAATATCTTGCAGATATATGCTTTTAAATGGCTCCCATTGTACAGCGCTACAGAATCTGATGGTGCTATATAAATAATAAATAAAATAAATAATAATAATAATATGGCTCGATTTTCTACATACATGATTAGCCCTTATCAGTGCTTTTCTTTTTTTATGGCAGTTGGAGTTTATCAGCAGGTCTATGACCTGGGCTGATTATTATTGCTGTAGGAATCCTGAATTGTAAGACATTCTACAAGATGATGGGTGTGATATTTTTCATTATACACCCTGTTCATGTTCACTGAATACACACCTTCATGCATAAATGGAGCAGAAAAAATGTTGACATCAAAATATTGCAAACAAGTTTAGTCTCGATATACAAAGACAGGTGAGATTGAATAAGCAGCCAATTCTAAATAAATCCAGTGCTCATTGCTTTAAATACAAGACAAGACAAGGATTTATCTAGAATTGTCTACTTATTCAATCTCACCTGTCTTTGTATAGCGATAGTATAATTATTTGTTACATTTGTTACTTTTTTAATTTTTTTTACAGTTTGTTACATGGTAAATGCTATTTGATGGCAGTATAATTTGAGGTTGCAGTGTGCTAATACCTTGGTATTAAGGGAATGCAGCCCCCTCCACCATGGCGGTAGAGATAGTACAGCTGTAGGGGGCAAAACTGTCAGCTGGAGCCTGTGTAAACCTGTGTAATTGGGGAGTTTAAGGTATATTTCCTAACTGGGTTGCATTGTCTAGCAGTATCAGAGCGAACAGGAAAAAGCCCTGATTGCTCCCTGGTGGGTGGTAGCGCTGGCTCACATCCTCCCAGAATAACCCCTCTAGCGCTGGAGTTTGTGGGAGGGGTAGGAACACGGCGCTACTCCACCTCCCTTTTCTCTGCTCCCATATTGAAGAGCTTAGAGCCAGACCCTCAGTGTTGAGGCTGGGTACCACGCCACAAAGCAACTGAAGTAGAATTTGGAACTGTGAGAGGGTTAGAAGGCAGAAGAAAGGGTTGGGGAAAAATTGCGTAGTTAAAGGGGCACTCCAAATCCCTAAAGCACTTGAGATTGCTGAGGTTCTTTGTGTCGAGTGTGTCCTTTTACAAAAGGTGCAGATTGCAATAGAAATTGGCACTTTTATACATTAACCTGGTTACACCCCCCTGGCTGTCAATCAGATAACCGGTTCTGTTACTTCCTGATTGCTTAAAATATATATATATATTTATATTTTAAGCAATCAGGAAGTATCTAAATATATATTTATATTTTAAGCAATCAGGAAGTAACAGAACCGGTTATCTGATTGACAGCCAGGGGGGTGTAACCAGGTTAATGTATAAAAGTGCCAATTTATATATATATATATATATATATATATATATATAACAAAATGCAAATATTTTTCAAAATATGAAATCAATTTAGAACATTTAATATCACAATTTTTTAAAAATTTTGTAATATTATGACAGTCCTTTTGACACAGTTGCAAAGTGGCAGATATCACTAAAGTGATCAAAGAATGTACATTTTGTTTAGCACAATGCCATAACAGGACATTTAAATGACACTTATGCATTACAATACTTTCACTTGGATTATTCAGCAGTTTTGCTTTCATTATCCAGAAATCTGTGTAGTTAACAGTAACTTGCAAAAGAAAGATTGTGGCAATATTAGAGTGGGTGTAATGCTGAGTAACTGTTCTATAAATATATAAGTATTGCACCCAATGACTTTCAGACTTTGTACGGGTAATATTTTTTTATGATTGACATAGAATCAATATTCTGAAATTGTGTAAAATCACGAGAAAGCAAAATGATATCATGGCTAGAACATTGCTTTATAGAACAATCACAATTTACCTGCCTGCTCAAGATATTTGCTAATTTTTAACTATAATTTGCAAATATCTTGTTGTTTCCCCACCATGTGGAACCCCCGGGTTAATATCTGCAGAGACTTCTAGTTCCGTGCAGACCAAAGTTTATATTTTCGATTTCATTAAATTATTGTTATTGTCTTGCTGACAATCTCTTTCCGTAGAATGCAAATGTAATCTCATCTCCGGTCATTCACTTATTCAATGACACAATGGTTGAATGGTCATTATAAATTTTGTTAGGATGATTTATTTCAAAGCTACATGAAAGGACGCCTAGAACAACCAGCGGTAATTAAAGTCAAACATGTATTCCTGATACTACAGGTCTAAATAACCGTTTAGGTGTCCGGCTCCCCCTTGTCCCTTTTGAACCCCTTGAGGACACGACATGTGTGACATGTCATGATCCCCTTTTATTCCAGAAGTTTGGTCCTTAAGGAGTTAAAAAGGTGATATTACTCACCTTTTTCCAGCACCACGCGCATTAGTTGGGACTGGCTCTGCTCTTGCTCCTCCACCTTGGCTAA